GAAGATCGTTCACGAGAGTCCTTACGGCCGAGCTAGGCGGAGAGGAGATTCTAATGAGAGCTCGCTCTCTCTCTCTCTCTCTCTCGCGATATAAGCGTCGCGGTTGGGTAGCCCGTAACACGACGCATTCGTCCGTGCATTCCTGTCCGGTTTCCTCCTTTTCTGGTCGCCCCTACATCCCCGGACCCCCCCCCCNCGGACCCCCCCCCCCTCTTTCGTGCAGTCGCCGCGCAGCATCCTCCGCGTCTGCGATACGGCTCTTCCCCATCCTCCCTCCTCCCGCGCGCGCGCAGGCCTATCTCCAACATTCGTTTCCTCTTCGCTCCTTCTTCCTCCTATCGTTCTTACCTAATCCCTCCTCTCTTCTCCGCCTCCTCTCTCTCTCTCTCTCTCTCTTCTCCTTCATTCTTCCCTCGCTTCACCGTCGTCCACCCCCGGCGTCTTTTGTCTTATTATTTTGTCGGCGCGCACGGCCGGTAGGTATATCTCTCCTTCTACACGGCGCGTTCTTCTCTCCTCTCCTCTCCACGTTCCCCGCATATAAACATCGCGGCTTTATCTGAGCGTTTTATAGCGGAGAGGTCCCTGCCGGCCGAGGGGGCCGGCCGGAATCACCTCGGATCTCCGATCCGTCTCTCTCTCTCTCTCTCTCTGTTCGTAACGAGAGCGGAGATCACGGATCCTCGACCTACGCTCCTTCCTCCACACACGATCCTCTCTGTCCTCGTGTATGTTTCTTCCCCCGGTCCCCCCGTCATTCTCCTGTCCATCCACCAATTACAATGTTCGGTTTCGCCGATTTCTACCTTTGTCTCGCGTCGCGATCCACGCCGAATTCGAGAAGCGCCATTCCTCGAAGGACCCGATGCGATGATAAAGCGTCCTCCTCCGTCGCGGTCTTCCTCGCGGGAGACACCGTCATGAGAAAAAAGAAACGGAGAAACAAAGACCGGAATCATTTACATACCGCGGTTCGGTCTCTTCCTCCTCGTTGCCCTTCGTTTCCCCGCCGCCCCGCCCGTTGACTTTTCCCGCGCGCGATACTCGAGGTGATCACCGCGTCTCGCGGTTCCCAGCGGGAATTTTCGAATCGAGCCTCACCGGAGACACACGTGAATCCTGACGTAGATCGTGGCTGATTACGAACCAACTATATAGAGTCTATCTATCACGTATCTCGATCGAATGTAAATTCTACCGGCCCACACATACACACACACACACAGAGTGTTGTTGCCGGCTGACAGCGACTAAGTTGCGTGGCAAAAAAGCCCCGGATCGAATGCAGAAATGGTAGCGGAAGTATTATTAATAAAATCGTCGTATATACGCTGCATCGTTAAACTGACGGCGATCGTATTTTATAATCGCGCCGGCGAGACCGGCGATTAAACTTGCCATTAAGAGCAATAATTTATTGTAATTATTCCGGCTCTAATCACTCACCGGGTTTTTGTTATTCTTAAGGTTTACGCGGCGTGCCGTCTATCAGCCACCTTGAAAGTTACGGTGATAAACCGATAAGCATATAAATTCGTCCGTACAAGTCGTCGCGCATTCGAGGCGAATCGTGGTCACTTCGCGTAGGAAAAAAACAGGAAAGAAAAAGAAAAAAGAGAAACCGTACGATACGCGTACGACGTCGGAATTTAAATATGTAGCGCTACACACGAAGTGTTTTCTTGGTCTGCATTATCAGAGAACGCGAAATCAACCTAGTAACGCGGCATCGAGATATCTCTGTTTTTAGGTCGCACATCGACGCGTATCCCCCCGTGAAGCTAATATATCGCGTAATATTTTCCTATATCTCAACTATATATATATATATATATATATATATATATATATATATATCATATGTCAAATATATACACGCACACAGAGCGCGTTCTAATTACGTCCGACGACTCACGCGAAATTACTGCGAACGTAAATCCCGTCTCTTTGCATGCCCTCGTGCACCGTGCGTGGTTGTAATATTCAATTCGCATTGCACGTACCCGCGTATTGATCTGTGCGATCTGCAATCGTACGGATGCGCGCGAGCGAATACAGATATCAACGAGCCGAGTGATCAACGTTAACGCTAGAAAATTTATCAGCGCACCAACGAAACCGGGAGATCCCGTCCGTTACTTACATACACGTCATTCTCGGAAAGAATACCGCGCGCAAAGGGCGAGGGTATTTGAAGTTTCTCTGACGCACGCACGGTAAACACGGTTATTAGTAATTGTTGTTTGAACGCATGCCAGTTGCACGGCCGTTTATGCCAGTTAAGATCAGCCTCTACAACTGATGCGCGCTCCGGAATCTATTGCGCGTTTCGAAATCATTCGTTACTTCCGTTTAGACCTTGAATAAAGTGTCTTTGAAACCGCGTGCTCGCGCGGCCGCCGGCTCGAAATACGCCGTAATGTCCGTTAATTGAAAGTGATCCACGAGCGTCATTTCGTAAGACTGTCGTACGTGTTGACCGTCGCCGTGTACTTAGTTAGCAATTTGAGATATTCGGTGCTGCTACAGGAATGATTACTGTGTCCTTTTCCCGGAGAAAAACGCAATTATTTTTTCGCCACTCGGCGAGAAGTTAAGATTGTTACTTCGTAAAATTATCCTCCTGAGAACTTTCTTAAACCAGACAAGTCGCCCCATAAAACCGTTTCGGCAGTTTAATCCGTCAAAATCCCGTATATATACTCGGTATATTAATTGAAACATTATTTAATTATTTGTGTAATTAGAGAGAGAGAGAGAAGAAGATTTTTGACGAAGAAGAAAATTGACCATTCAACACGCGTTCTTTATATTCTATTAAGATTAGCATCTTATTTTCAGTATCAATTTCCAAACTATATGTAGTATTTTCATGATAAACTATTATAATATTAAAAAGTATATAGATATATACATATAGATATTATATATAAAAAATGATATTACAGGCCATTTAATTTCGTAAATATAACTGTAACAATTTGTAATTTACAGTAACACTCCAGTTCCCTTACTTAGTTAACTTGTAAAGACAATTGTTGTATAATTATTTTATGGTCTAGTCTGCGCAGAGAGAGAGAGAGAGAGAGAGAGAGAGAGAGATTTGTAACGCACGCGTTATGCCTGTAACGTATTCGTTAAAAGTTATGAGGATAAGAGCGCGAGTTCGAAAATGAAAAAGAGACGAAACTCTAACGTAAGCAAGTTGAAGAGAGACAGACTTTGACAGAACATCGAAATAAGTAGCCTTGTTGCGTGTAGGCGCTTATTAGAGAAACAACGTTCCAACCTTTTGGCTGCACTTTTGAATGCACTGGCGAGCGAGAGAATGTCCCTGAGAAAGAATTGAATATTGTATTTCATATACCATATAGCGTACACTCATTATTTGCTTTTCCTATTACTTATTACTTCGTTCTTGTTTAATTTCAAGTAATTATATATCGTTTAATTTCATATACGAAACGTATAAAATCGATCTCGTAATATCCCGATACGTAATGGATACTTTATACAGAGTAATATCTATAATTTCTTTCTCACGTAACATAAAATTTTATCCTTATGCCCGTGGTACTTAAAAGACGCATAAAACGCGCTCATGTGCGTAATGTAGTTCGCTAGTGGCAATTTAGTTATCGCCGCTGTGCTCTCTTTTCCCCGCATGGGACACTCTTTCTGTACCGCGATATGACGTTCTGCTTTTACACATATTAAGCGTAGCAGCTGTTTAAAACCTGCCTGGTTCGATGCAAGTCATTACGTAGGCCGTAGACCGTTGCGTATAAGTAACGTCCGCGGTAAAACATTGAGATAAGGCCCAATTAGCTTATCAATAAAGGATGTAGGTGAAAAAAAGTATACGCGACGGTAATTGCGCCGCTACGTACGAAGAACGAAATCGAGAAAAAGCAGTAAGAAGTTACGGACGCACAAATAATCCCTGACTATTACACCGAGAGAAATTCCATTAAAATTATAGTTATTTTCAGTCTCAATTATATCTCCCTCTCATTTCGATCCGAAAAATAATAACGGCTATACGCATGCGAGACTATTAGAGAGACGATGTTTCAACCGGCCGAAGATTGCACCGGTAAACGAGAGAGTATCCCCGAGAAAGAATTGAATATTGTATTTTACATACCGCAGCGTACGCTTATTATTATTTGCTTTTCCTATTACTTATTATTGAATTTTCTCTAATTTCACATACGAAACTACAGAAAACCAATCTCGTAATATCCCGGTATATGTAATGATACTTTCTACATTTCGCATATATTATCACACTAACATGACAACGACACTCATGCTAGGAAAATGATTCTCCCGGCTATAATTCTTTTATTTATGTGATTATAGTCACTATAGTTATAGTGATTATATATAGTTAGGTTTTTTCCTCGGTGCAGCTGGACTCGATAATTCATATTCGCGCGGTGACGTTACGCGTTGCTCGATGCTGACGGAGAGACGGTTTCCTTTTTTCGAAAGCGGCGAACGATTCGATCACAGGAGCCACGATAAAAATCGCGTGCGCGATCGAAACGTTCGATACATGTACTGCGGTTTCTCCACCGGTGATGTTCGGACGTACCTCCGGCCGTTGTTCATTGCCATCCCTCGCAAGCTACGAGATACGAAAGGGGGCTAAGGTGCGCGATTCTTCCTCGCGTTGCTCCGCTCCGCAATCTCCGATAGCGACGCAAAGGACGAAAAGGTGCGACTATAAAATTTACGAGGCCTAACTCTCTCTCTCTCTCTCTCCTTCTCTCTCATCGGGCGAAACGTTTAACGATCGTCGCACGATGACTATCAACGAGGCTCGACGGTGTATTTACGACAGCCGATTTTTCGGTGAACACATTGTGGAATAAGGAGGTGGGTGTGCGTGATGTGTCATCAACCGACGCGTATACCAGACTTCCATATAAATAGTACTATATTTCACAGTTTTTGTTACAGTTCAATAAATATCTTTTAAAGTTGTATTTACATAGGCGGCTAGAGAGTGGGACGTGGTAGAATAGGGCGGGACGGGGGATCGCGAGGGCGCGGGGGAATTAACAAGGGAGAAACGATTAACCCTTAACCGTGTGGCCGCGACCACTTTGACCAGAACTCGAGAACGAACGCATTAATCGGAGCGCGTAGGAGATCTTAGAACGAAGAACACAATTAGGGATGATTGAGCGCGTTAACCCTTTAAGTGCCGTTGAGTTGCGTGGCAGTGCGTGCGCGCAAACGTGTGTGTGTGTGTGTGTGTGGCATGTGTTTGTGTGTATATGTGTATATGTGTGTGCACAGTTTTGAAAAACTCGCTACAAGTACCAGGACGAAACACCATCTTTCGAGGTGATCAGGCAAGGCTGCGAATTTTCGTTCCTCGTCATTTTTCCCAGTGTTTTCCGGTTACGGACGCTCGCAAAGGACAACAAGCGTGGTATCTCGAGGGTTGAACGGTGTTAAGTGGGGATCCTGACTTTTCGCACTCGTTGACAAAGCATTTCCGTACACCACGGGGGGTTAAAAGTTACTTGACGCGTGCTGACCGGCTCAACGTTGTAACCAGGGCGTCGCAGCGTTGCCGTGGATAATTCTCAGCGACTGTAATTCTCTATATTAACAACTATTTCGCGGCAACCTTAAAGACCGGAACTTGTCCCTAACGTTCAAGTATTTTTATGGCACTGATCCGACGGTGCGCGCTCTCCCGATCACCGTGTTCACCAAAACCACCATGTGCGATTGCTCGCGTAATTACATCCGCGAGGGATGGCTCCCACACACTGAACACATCTCCGTGAACGTGAACGTTACACGAGCCTCGGCATCGCGGGAACATAGAGTACGATGCTTCCCGAAGAAGACTCGGCGTCGGGCGATTCCCGAGAGCGAGAGGACATATTTCCGTAGATCGGAATGTACCTCGCGTCACTGATCTCAAGTCGACGTTGATCCTCTCGCGCGATCCTCGCGTCACACGACCGTTGGACCGCGTTCGACCGTTCACCGTCGTTGAAATCACTGACGACGGTGCGGATCGTGGAGACGCGCGACGAGATCAATCGACGAGCGGTGACTACTTACGACCGAGCGGTCGTAACGAACCCGATCACTACAGTTTTTCAAGAGCGCGACTATTCGTCAGTAACTCCCTGGTGAGTCTCCAGACTTGCTTCGCCGCGTTTTCCAGGCCTGTCGGCGATTTCCCCTTGAAAAGGTCGAGATTCGGCAGGAAGTAGTGGGGACACCTGCGGCATTGCAGGCACGAGATCAGTTGCAGGAAAATCCCGTTTATCCGCTCGGCCAGACAGCCGTCGTCCCATTCCGCCTCGTGCGGGTGTTTCTCGCACTCGTAGAGCAGCAGAGTCTTCATGTGGTAGCTGGTGACCGGATTGCCAGGCAGATCGAGGTGCCGGTCCCTCAGGGTCTTGAGAATGCTCAGACAACGCTTCCTACTCGCGCCCTGCAACAGCCGGTTCTCCGCGTCGATGAACGACAATGCCCAGGCGTCGCCTTCCATCGCGGACTGCTTGCCTTGCAGGCCTATGCATTCCTTCGAGAGCATGTCGAAGCCCTCCGCCTTAACCTCGGCGACGATGTTCGGGTGCGGCCAAGGTATGTGGGCTATGGGCCAGTGCGAGGCCGACCTGGGCCAGAGGCCGGCGCATTTGAACGCCGGCGTGATCTGCACGACGTATCTCTCGCGTATACGCAGCTTCACCTCGGTCGTGTCGGCGATCATCTTCACCGAGTCCCGGTAGGTGCACTTGTCGCACGCCTGGGCCACCAGGGTCTGGAATCTCGAGCGGATTTT